AAAGAATGACAGAGCGGAGAAGCATTTTCTTCTGAGGGACAAAAGGGTTTAGATCAGGGGTCCTCAAACTAGGACCCGTGGGCCACATGCGGCCCACCGAGGACATTTATCCGGCCCGCCGGGTGTTTTTGCCGCCGCTGCCTGTCCTGCTTAGCAGCCGACTCATCCAGTGTGCATAGGAATGTGTTCATAGTTTTTTTTAAAACTATAGTCCGGCCCTCCAGCGGTCTGAGGGACAGTGAACTGGCCCCTGTTTTAAAAGTTTGAGGACCCCTGAGGTAAGCGCTCTTTTCCTTTCCTACCTCTTCCTGCCCTGTTGTCACACCAAACACAGTTAACAATTGTTAACAAAACCCCAAACAAACACCAAGCACCAGTGCCGTCCAGCCTGTGCCGACACCTAGTGGCCCCATAGGCCAGGGCAGAGCTGCCCCTGGCTCCGAGACCGTCACTGTGCGGGACAGGAAAGCCAGTTCCTCTCTGACTCAGCTACCCTGTGCGCTGCAACAGGGTGAAGCACTACCCGGCCCGCCGTCCTCACCACCCTTGCCGTGCTGGCGCCACTGTATCAGGCCGTCTCACGAGGGCCTCCCTCTCTCAGGGACCCGCATCTACCGAGCGGGCGTCCTTCTCCAGAGACCGGTTCTTCTGATTACATGCCCAAAGCACCCTAGATGAAGTCTTGTTGCCATTTTTACTTCCACTTTAACAATAGTTGCTTCCTTTCAATGAACAGAACCAAACCCCAGACCCATACCATTGAGCAATGCCGCCTGCCTTCTGGTGACCCCACCTGTGACCCATCAGAACAGCACCACAGGGGCTTCCTGGCTGGCCTGGCTCCCACAGTGGGGCGGGGAGGGTTCGAACCACCTGCTTTTAGGCCTGCAGTCATGCAAATACCCAGTCTGGGATCACATGTCCCTAGCTCGCTCTCTCAAAAACAACCCTCCTTCTTTTTACAGCTGGTTTGTGTGGATCAGGATTTAGATGAGGGCTACACTTTGTCACTTAGGATTGAGCCGCCTGCGGTTCTCTTGCGAACAATCCTGGTCACTTTTGCTGAGCGCTTCCCCACCTTGTGGATTTGGCCGGCATGCATAATGTGCCTCTTCATCCCACATGCTTTCTGTAAACTGGGAGTAAGTAGCCCACCTCACCCCCCGGGCTCCTTAGCTCGTGTTTCAGGTCGACTAATCAGTCCAGAAGTGAGGAATCAAGATGCTGTGTGTCCACAAAGCCAGAGAAGGTGGAGAGAGCCCCTGATCCCATTGCTCGTGTTATGCAGGGAAGACACAGGCCCAGAGAGGGCGATGCCTTCTTGAGACCCACGCAGCTCTAAGTCACCAGAGAGGATGGACCCCTGGGTGTGACTTCCCAACCGAGTGCCCGCCCCCCGTCCCTGCGCTTTTCATCCTACAAAGACTTGAGATTCAGTTGCACACGCTAGGTCCCATGTAGAACTGGCTTACAATCAAAGTGAGAGTGGATTGACTCCGAGGGCTCAAGGGCAGATTCCTTCAGGACTAGCGGCAGCCACGCATTCAGATGGCCTCCCCAGAACTTGACCTTTTTTGTCTCCAGTTCTCCGGGCTGGCTCAGTCCTTGGGCGGCTGCTTTTCAGGGGGTGGGTAGAGTAACTCCAGCCTCACTGGTCACTAGCAGTCCCAGCAGGCAAGAGGCGTTTGCCTCCTCATTGTTTTAACAAGACCCGTTGGCCGGACTCGGGCCACATGGCTGTCCCCGGGCTAATCGTGATGGCCAGGGGTGAGGGGTGAGGGCGGAGAAAGCGTGGATCAGTCAGGCTTGGTTAGGAAGCCGCTCATGGAACACCTAGAGACCGGGGCTTCCTAGGGGTTGGTTCCCCAGACCCACGTGGACGGGGTGGGGAGAAGGATGGCTGTCCAAAGGAGAGTCGCCGGCCGCGCTGTGAGAGGCAGCGGAGTATACCCTCAGCAGAGCTCAGCAGTTATTATTTTGGGGCACCCTCTGTGTGAGCATCATTTTGCCAATCAGCAGGCAGTTATGAACCAGGAGGGGGGTCTGTGACATTTTTATGACGAGAGGCGCCCCCTTTAGGAACCAGCAGGCCGTCGGCCCGTGAGTCGCCAACCCAAGCAGACTCAACAAAGGCCCCCTCTTCTCCACAGCTAATGTCTGGGTTTTGGTTGCAGGTACAGTCCCTGCAAGCCATGGTTGGGGCTTTCGAGTCGGCCCTGCGGAGCGCCCAACACAAGCAGGAGCTCACGGAGAAGGCCGTGCAGCAGGGCGAGGGCGAGGTGAGCCGCCTCGCCGAGGCCCTGCAGAAGCTCCAGGACGAGATCCTCAGGGACCTCTCAGACGGCATCCACGTGGTGAAGGACGCCCGGGAGCGGGACTTCACCTCCCTGGAGAACACGGTGGAGGAGCGGCTGACGGAGCTCACCAAGTCCATCAACGACAACATCGCCATCTTCACCGAGGTCCAGAAGCGGAGCCAGCAGGAGATCAACGAGGTGAAGGCCACGGTGGCCTCCCTGCAGGAGCCCGAAGCCCACCGGCAGGACTTGAGGGCCCTGAAGGATGCCGTGAAGGACATCCAGAGCACGGTGAAGTCCAAGGAGAAGGACCTGGAGGCCCTGAGAAGCGCCCTGGCCACCGTGGAGTCCGATGTGTACACCGAGGTCAAAGAGCTGGTGAGCCTCAAGCAGGAGCAGCAGAAGTTCCAGGAGGCAGCTGACGCCGAGCGGGCCACCCTGCAGGCCCTGTCAGAGAAGTGTCTCCGCTCGGAGGAGGCCGCCGCCCGCCTCCCCGGGGAGATCGGGAGGCTGGAGGAAGAGCTCCGGCAGCTGCGAGCCGACGCCAGCCGGCCGGGAGAGGGTGGAGCGTCCCTGGACCCTGCCGCCTTCGAGGAGCTCCAGAGGAAGAGCCAGGGCCTGGACTCCCGGCTGCGGGACGTGGAAGACGGAGTGCAGTCCGTGCAGGCGGCGTGCACGCGGCAGACGGAGGGCCTGGAAGGCCTCCTGTCACAGAGCGAGGAGCAGGAGCGGCGCCTGGGTGCCCTGCAGGAGCGCGTGGCCGGCCTGGGCCCCTCCCTGGAGGCAGCCGGGGACGACGTGGCCAGCACTGTGAGGAGCCTGGGGGAGGCCCAGCTCTCGCTGGGCGCCGACGTGGAGGAGCTGAAGAGGCGCCTGGGCGAGCTCCCCAGCACGGTGCAGGAGCAGGTCCACACGCTGCTCGGCCAGGACCAGGGCCACCTGGCCAAGCTGTCCAATGTGGACACCCTGCAGTCATCCGTGAGCCAGGTGCAGTCGGACCTGAAGATGCTCAGGACTGCTGTGGACAGCTTGGTGGCCTACTCCGTCAAAATCGAAACCAACGAGAACAACCTGGAGTCGGCCAAGGTCCTGCTGGAGGACCTGAGGAACGACCTGGACCGGCTGTTTGTCAAAGTCGAGAGGATCCACGAGAATGTCTAAAGGCACTTGCGGGGTGCGCTTGGCTGGCCCCAACTCCTCATGACCAAAACCAAAACAGTCTGGTTTCCTCCCACCGTCTCTCACACGACCCCTTGCCCCGCCACCTCCACTGTGCCCACCTCCCCACCCCTGCACCTCATCCTTTCTCCCCGAAAAGAGCAGCTTAGAACCCGCTGGAACACCAGGGCGTCGTGACTGGTCCTTGACCACAGTCGCAGCCTCCCCCCACACCAGGGTGCCCTGCTGCTGCCCACAGGGCCATCTCTAGGATGAGAGCAGAAGAGGGATGAAGGATGCCCTTCTCCTGCGGGTTCACCTCAAAAACACTGCTTGGTGGCAGGGCCAACGTGTTCTTCTCTCTTTGTTTTAAAAGGAGAGAACATGGAAGTACTCTTATTTTTCATTGCTTTTAAGGAAAATTGGTTGCATTTGATTTTTGAAACTAACTCTGGCCCAAGTTTTCCTGAGCTGCCACTCCTTGTCTTCCATTGAAGCTGGCTCCATCCCGTAGACATCAGCTCTGAACTGGGGGTTGAGTGGAGGGAGGTGGGGGCCCCTCGGTGCCTCGTGTGACAGGGTCAGCCATTGGTCCCGCAGCCGCTAGTCAACAGTGGTCACTGCGGAGAACCCGGGGCCCCTCGCCACCTCCCGAGGTCAGCTCCGTGGGCTCCTTCAGGGAAGTAGGAGCGCTGTCCACAAAGGAACTGGCGTCCCCCTGGGGGATCAGAGGCCAATATCTAGTTTTCTCTTGGCCTGCGACGTCTGCGTAGAGGTTTGCCGTCTGAGCAGACGCACCCCCCTCCCGCTTCCCCCTATGTACCAGTAAGGAAGTGTGCACTCTGTCCTGGCCCTGTTGGCTGTAACACCCCACTCCCACCCCACCCCATCTTCCCCTTTGGGCTGTACTGGTCTTTGATGGTTTTCTCACCTTTCAAAAAAAAAAACCCAAGGAGGAAAAAAAATTTGTTTAGTTTACTGTGAAATGAACTGTATGGCTTATTTACAGTATTTTTAATTCTTAATAAACATGAGCTTTGTTACGACTGTCGCAGTGATTGCACCTGGGTATGTCTTCCACACAGGTGTGTGATCTTCGATGAACTGGGGATTTGGTCCATTCTGAAACCCTTTGGCCTAGGGGCTGAGGGTCGGGGTTTCTGGAAGACTGTCAGCAGATCTGCCGGCCAGCCACAGCTTGCTTCTGGCGCTGTTTGCTGCAGCGGTGAATCTCAACCCCGGCTTCCCACGAGAGTGTTCCCGAGAGCTTTTTAGCAAATGCCCAGCCCTGCCCCCTTGGATTCAGGCTCTGTTGGCAGGAGAGGAACGGGACCGGCGCATCAAAGGCTCCCCAGCTCGTTGCGTCAGCTGCTTAAGCCCACCAACACACACTTCTCCCAGGGAAGATGTACAGTCAGAATCCTGGGGAGTAGTTCTGCTCAGCCCCATAGGGTCTCTAAGAGAATATATGCGACCACGGTTGGTTTGGTGTGAGCTGATTCTAACGGGCAGCTAGGTGGTAAGAGGATCTTTGACCATCTTAGTGACGGGGAGGGAGGGCTGGGGCTGGGCCAGGCTCTCCTGCAAACCCGGGTTGTCCACTGCCTCTTGTGAATGCCCGTCCCTGAGCTGAAGCACAGTGTAAGGAGGTGTCACCTGGCCCTGTGCCAACCCGTGTCCAAGGTTTTCATGAGCTGCTGTTTGGAAGGAGATCGCCAGGCCTTTTCTCCTCAACAGATGGGTGGTGTGTTGACCGGGACTCCAATTTAGGACTCCCGAGGGTGAAAGGTGAGTATTTCTCCCCTGAGCCATCATAGCCCAGCACCTAAAACCACATCAAAAAAACCTCACTGCCATGAAGTCAATCCTGACTCAAAGTCAGGCCTGACTGAGCAGAACTGCATCCAAGGTTGTACATTTTTATGGGAGCAGAAAGCCTCTTCCTCCCTCAGGGTGGGTTGCTAGGGACTTGAACTGCTGACCTTGAGGTTGATAGCCCAGCAGGTAATCCACTTCCCCACCAGGGCTCCTTCACCACCAGCTGCAGCTCCATACTAACAGATGGTGTTTGAGCGCTTTGTGTGCTCACAACTTAGGCCTCATGCTTCTGCAGAACTCCTAGCACTCCTCTGACTGGGGTAGACGGGCCCCATTGCAGTTTCCAGGGGAAACTCGGCCGAGGAGCAGTCGGTGTGGTGCAAGATCCTCAGCTAAGAAGTGTGCAGTCTGATCATTTAAACCACACCCCTGGTCTCAACCTTAGCTCCCCGACACCTGCCTCATTTAGCATCTCTCATCTCCCACCAGCCTCTGTGCAGGTCCACCCTGCCCTGTGAGCACCTGCTGCCCCTGTGGGTACTGTCTCAGAGCCCGCTAGGGAGCAGAGGAACCAGGACCTGGCATCCGGGGCTTCCCAGCCCCTTCTCTGGCTGTGGGGCCCGCATCTCAGATGCTACCAGCCATTCTGGGCCCGGAAAGCAGCATCCCCCAGGACTCCCAACTGAGCTCAACACGTTCTTCCTAACGCAGTTTGCATCATAAGGATGGGGCCCCTTTCTAGGCGTTAGGAACCCCACATGTTTATTTTAAGGTCTCCAGAATCGGTCTGTGTGCATCTTTGTGCTGAGCAGCTTAATCCCCCTGGTGTGGAGTAAAGGAAGTTCTAGCTCCTCTCAGTTGCATGGGCCATGTTCTCACCCTTCCTTCCGCCTTCTGCAATTTCTCATCTTGGACCAGGTTCTCCTGGGCAGTGCATACAGTTAACGTGCTGGGCTGCTACCTGAAAGGTCGGAGGTTTGAGCCCACCCGGAGGTGCCTTGGAAAAAAGGCCTGGTAATCTATTTCCAAAATAGTCCAACCATTGAAAACTCACTGAAGTACAATCCTATCCCAATACGCATGAGGCAGCCTGATAATCTCAAACTGTGGATGTTCTTACTAGAGTTGAGTGCAATAGAAAGCATTTGTGTGCACGTCAAATGCAGATTTACGTGGTAAACATAAAGGAATGAACTCAGATTCCTCAGGGTAACAAGAGACAGGTCTCACCCCACTTGACAGTCACATATCAGCCTTGTTCATGTGTTCATTCATTCATTCACCCACCCAGCCAGAAAACATTCCTTGAGCTCCTAGCCAGTCATTTTGCAATAGCAAGTGAATCAGAGATGCACACCACGGTATCCTGATCCTCACAGGACCTGCAGTCCCGTGGGGGCAATAGCCGCATAAGCTAATAAGGCGTCAGAAGGAATAGCCCTTGGTAGCTCAAGAGCTCAGCTGCTCACCGGAAGGTTGCCGCTTCAAACCACGAGAAGACCTGGTGAGTTGTCCTGTATGGGCAGTTCCTACTGTGTGGTGGCACCGCTAGGAGTCAGAAGCAACTTGCTGACACACATAGCCAGGTGTCACAGAGCACCGCTTGGGCCTGGGTTGGGCTGGAGATATTTAGAACAGGTTTTCCAAAGCCTCTGAGTGATGGACAAGAAACCTCCTGCAAACATCCGGTTGCTCGGCTGGTGGATGGGGGCTAGTCCACAGTTACTGATGGTGCTGAACACCAGGGTGACAGTCTGACAGGATGGGCGCCACTGGGCAGGATTATCAGTAGGCGGTGAGGAAACTGCCCCTCTACTGTTGTCCAGCCCTGGCAAGATCACAAGTGAGCCTCTGAGCCACCTCGTCATCTGTATCAGGATGTTGGGGATTGCCTTGTGTCCCCCTCAAAATACGCGTTGCACAACCCAACCTCTGTGCCTGTGACCCTTCAGGGTGCTATCATTTCACCGTTATCCAATCTGTATGCTGAGCGAATCATCAGAGAAGCCAGACTCTAGGAAGAGCGCTGTGTCAGGCAGGACGAGAGGAGGCTCATGAACAACCTGTGAGATGCAGATGACCCAGCCTTGCTTGCTGAAAGCCAAGAGAACTTGGAGCCCTTGCTGATGAAGGTCAAGGATTTCGGCCTTCAGTATGGGTTATACTTCAGCAGAGACGAAACAAAAATCCTCACAACTGGCTCGGTCGGTCAACAACAACCTGGTAAGTGAAGAGACAATTGAGATGGTCCAGGACTTCGTTTGATGTGGATCCACAATCAGTGCCCTGTGAATCTGCTGCACAAGGTGGACACCTCTGTACAAGTGTCCACAAGCAGAAAAATGTCACTTCGAGGCCTCAGATGCCCAGACCCAAGCTGTGGTCTTTTCCGATCACCCCATCTTCACCTGCAGGCTGGCCAGTGACCGTGGAAGATGGAAGCACGGGCCCATTTCAGTGCTGGTGTTGGTGAACACACCGTGGTATCTTGAATAAACCCCAGATTGCCAAAAGGACAAGCAAATCTGCGGCCTGGGAAGTGACCATGGTGAGACTTCATTCTTACATCCTCTGAACATGTGATCAGGAGGGACCATTCCATGGAGAGGGACATCCTGTTTAGCAGAAGGCAGGGGAAAGAAGACCCTTAATAAGATTTGTTAGGTAGCAGAACAGGGACTGGGGATGTCCCTCCACATGCCTGAAGGCCCCCTACAGGAGGGTGGAAGAGAATCAGGCCAGCCCTTAGCCAGCCATGAAGACTAACTAGGCATGCGCCAAATTCAGGCCACCCCTCCCCCTGCCCCCACCAGCCAGGTGGGCGTACTCCTGGGTGGGCCCAAACTAGGCCAGGTGGGCTTAATTCAGCCAATAGGATCAACCAATACCTTCCACTACACCTCCCAACTGAAGGCCCCAAATACCTGGACCTCGAGACCACCTGTCCTTCGGGTTTCTTCACCTTCCATTTGGCTGTGGTGTGGTCTCTCTGGCCTCAGGCATGAGTACTTAGTGACTGTAGACCCGAAACTTCTTCTGTCCTTTATGAAAACGCGCTAGGATCACAAACCAGGCTTCTGCGTGAATTCTTTCTCACAAACCAGGCTTCTGCGTGAATTCTGTCTCGTGCGAAGCTAAGAACCGAGGTATTTCCCACCTGAGAAACCTATTAACACAGTGGCTACAAAAGTGGGATTCAAACATGGGGGCGGTTGGAAGAAGGGACCAGGACTAGGCAATGTTTCTGTTTTATTACAGGGTCATCATGAGCCTGAACTCTGGCTGGCACCTAACAGCTACAGCCATATCATCCCACCCGGTTATGTTCATGGGGCAGGCTCAGCGTAGGGCCTAGATGCAGCCAATTTAGGTTGCGATATAAAAGAGGTTAAACAAGTCAAGTGAGCAGAGGAGAGACAGACGGGGAGACAGACGCCTAGACACCTGGGAATCTCCAAGGAATCAGGAAGAGAAGGTGAAGCAACAAGGGCCTTCCCCCAGAGCCACCAAGGAGAGCAGGCTCTCCTCCAGTCGGCGCTCTGCGTTGGAGCGTCTAGCTTCCTCAGCCTTGAGGAAGTAAATGCCTGTTTGTTAAAGCCACCCGCCTGTGGCATTTCAGCCGTAGATAATTAATGCATGGCAGTCATCACACCTCAGTGGGACAGTGGGTGGAGAGGGCTTGGCCAGCATAGCATCCAGGGCAGCTGGGCCTCACCGTGGACATACTTCTGGACTGGCTGGGCAGTAGCTACAGCACTGAGCCTCCAGAAAGCTTTCCCTTGTAACCAAGGGATCTCCTCCCAATCCAGCAAGTAAGAGGCTCACACCTGGGTCTACCACGAGGCCCCCCCAGGGCCTTGCTAGGACCCATGGGCAGCATTTGTTCTACTGGGTGGGAGTCAGAAAAAGATGAAAGCCCGGGAGATCAGTGGAAGGAAATGGCAGGGATCTTAAAGGAGGGGAGACGGCTTCCTCACACACCTTGCCAGCACAAAGGAAGGGGAGGGGCAGAGTAGACAGCATTTCCTTATCAGTGGAAGAGACCAGAGATATGGGAGATAATGAAGTGGCAGTGGGAGGGGTGGGTGACGCTCCCAAAGCCTTCTGAATAGGCTCTTGAGTTTGGGGACTGAGATGTGAGCACAGCGTGACGTCTGGGGGCCAAAATCTGCATGCCTGAAAGGAGGAGGGACACTGCAGAGGATCGGCCAATAGCAGAAGACCC